CTATATGCCAGTGAAGGACATTCATCTTATAGTAAGACATGACATCCAAGTTCTCAAGAATCACATGAATTGGCAGGAAATGTCTTGAAGTATCGATTAATACTCCTCTGTATGTAAAACGAGGAAAGTCTAAAATAAATGTAGAATTGATGGCATATATTGTGTCCGATTTATGTTGAGTTAATTGTGAGAATGTCTCCAATGCTCTTAAAGCACCCCATATTGTGTTGGCGAATATGACGGCCTGTTTAGGAAAGTCTTCGGTGTCTATCCTTAACGTATACATCTCATCCATATGAAGGTGTGGCCACTCATCAATGCAATCACCTTTCACTTCAATTGTTATATTTGTCAGATAGTCTTCATTGGGTTCAAAATAATCTGTTTTAAACGTGTTTTCACTCAAATCATTCAAATTATAACATCCATTAATAAATGATAATTTCTGGTATCTTTTGATGGCCTCATCCAATAGATCGCATTTTTGTTTGGTTTTTGTGACAAACTTAAAATTTTTTGAATCAATAGTAAGTTGTGTCGGATAAGTGACTATTTGTTGCGGGTATGGAACTAAATGAGCCTTGGTTGTACCGTCATTTTGTATCTATACATTTGTCATAAGTAATATATTTTGATACTTAAATGAAATCATATAAATATAGACTTTTTGTATAATATTGATAATAAATTAATATTTATAATATTACCTCAGAATTTACTTCATTTAAAATACAAATTATAAACAAAATAATAATATATCTGAAACACAGCTTAAAATATATCATCTTTAGCCAAAAATTAAGATATTTTATTAAGAATCAGTCGTTGGTTATAATTTATACTTGGTTATATTTCATAACAATAAGTTTACTCCAAGTTAAATGGGGGTGATTTTAACGGTGTTCATACTCATATACAGTATAAATCATTAATAATTCATTATACAGTATTTTCATATTGGTTACACTTTAGATTAACGATTCATTGTTTGTTTATAAATAGATAATGACTACTTGAATACAGATATAAGTTTTTCCACTTATCTGTTAATTCTAATGAACTGATATAACTTTCAAATAACATTTAATTGCCATTTGGTCACTAAGTCACTTATATCACACAATTCAAAAGTTTAAAAAAGGTTGACAATTGACACAAATCTGATTTTCTAGTTAATTGTTTAAATATAAAATTATAATATCAAATTCTAATCAAACTATACTGATAAATAAGCTATTAAATTATAATTTTCAATTATTTAGTAGACTATTAATATGGTTATGATGAGAAAACTTATTTACTGGTTATTAGGCAATAATACTGTTAGTTAAAAAAATATAACCATTAATTACTATCATTAATTAATTAACAACTCCTTATTATTAAAATTACTAAAATAAAAACTTACTACCTTAAATTTAATAAACCATACTTTTTTTTATAAAAAAAAGTAATGTTATATTATTTATAAATGAATAAATTATTACTTAATATCATTCAAATATTTTTTGTGTTCGTAATGGTTTGATCCTGAACAAATATTCTAACTGAGTAATACATATTAAAAAGTTGTAATATTTGTTCAGACTCTGAAGTTGAGAGTATTAAAATAAATTATTTTTAAATTATAAAACTATTTATAAATTATAAATAATAAAAATATTCGTTAATATTAAAGATATACTATCAAAATTATTTTTAAAATAATGTATTCATTGCTAACTGACAAATAACTTATTTTTATTTAGGATATACAATAACTTAAGTAAATATCACATAAGAATAATGTGTTTAATCTATAAACTATAATTAATAATCAAAACCAAAAATAATTATAATAGAGTACAAATAAAATTCTGTACAGGAAATTCTATAAATTCTTTACTAGTATATGCAATAAAAATGTAGTCATATGTTTAATTTAAATTAATATTTAATAACAAAAATTTGTTCGCTTAATTTAATTCATACAGAAATTATTTATATAAATTAATTATATAAACAACAACACAAGATGTTTACACCCTTTGCCCGGTATTTATGAATGCAGCTTAATTGAAATTGCCGGTCATATTAAAGCAGAGTTAAAATGAACATTATTTGCGTATATATTTGCTTATAAGAAGTATATTTAAGAAAACACTAAATCAGTCATCATTTGGTGCTTTATTAGCGCTAATATTGCGGTTTGTCATGAGTTTGTCGATTCGCTTCTGTAAGTGAGCGCCTGATGTCTCCAATTCTTCGATTCGGGCCAACGCTTCCCTCAACTGTTTTCAAACAAATTAATTACCAGTTTATAGATATACGTTATGTCAATATTATATAACAGGACACTAGTGTTAGTAAAACATATTAGCCACTACCACAATGGCAATACAAATGTCATCTGGATCCATTACCTCTCTTTGCGTTTTGCGTTTCTCGGCCTTCAGCTCGTCCTCCAACTCCTGGGCCTCATCGGCGGCCGTCTTATACCTCGACAGTTGGGTCTCAAGTCGGCTCACATT